GTGTGTCACATCAGTGGCGGACATCTGAACTTCGTCGTTCACCAAACTCTTTTTTTATACAAATGTATGTTTATTGGTTGATGTTTGGCGAATAAAGACGTTTATTATTATTATTACTACTATTATTATTGCTATTATTATTATTATTATTAAAAACATAATATCTCATTTACATTTAAGTTTTCGCGAATACAATACTTCCTCGCTACTAGGCGACTAGATAATTGAAAATGCTTCTGTAAAGAGCCAAGGTCTTAAACTCGGTTTGGTGGATTCACTTATTTGTCCCCAAACGTCAGCGGTGGTCTTGCCTAGAGATCTGCATTGTGTTCTAGATTACTTCTGTCGTACATCATGCAACTCCTCTCCCGCACAAAATAATAAACAGCTTGATGGATGAAAGTAGTTCACATGCAAGCAGAAACAGAGCAATCTCTCGGGTTAAGACTGGTAGCTGCTTGTTGTTTGATAAGAAGCCTGAAGGTCATCGCAGCTGGGGATGCAGTGCTTTGGTGCAGTATAAAGCTAAAGATACTGTACCTCAATTAATAAAAAGGTATCCAAGCCCGCAACCAGCTTTGAAGTATGACCAGCTGAAATTTCCTTAACAGACACCTTATGTCCCCATTAGATTGACGGATAAATAGTAATCTCGCTCTCCTTTACATAGAACTTCTCCTGATTTCTGCTTTTTATTCTAGCCCCGTACATCGAAAACTGGTTGAATTTTATTGCGCCGTCGTTCCTAGAGTATCAAAAGTGTGGGAACATCTACCAGAAAAATCTTGCTCTAGTGCTTCCAGAATTAGTACAGTATAAAATATAGAGTAGCTCCACCGTTAAGAAACCTGCATAGTTCTATCGATTAACAATTTGCAGAAGAAGTTATTCGACTCATCTCAGCTGCCACCTCTTTTATACTTTTAAAATTCTGTTCCCCATTTTTTACGAATATATCATTGCTCCAGGCAAATTGAGTCTTGTCGTGATAGCATTACGGGACATTCCAAATATTTTAGTAGAATTTCTCCGATATCCCTTGTAATACCTCTACTATTTTAACAAGCAGAAAGTTAATAGAATCCTTATAACCCGAATGATAGACGCAGTTATCAGGAAATTGCGGTCGTCCTCACCTTATATTACCTAATACAATTTCACTGAAGAAAAGTCTGCATTTCAGGTTATTTTCCTTCGACACGCCAGTATGGTGTAGGAGACTGGAAAATTGATAAGATTCTTGGAGTAATACTTTATATACTGAACTAAGAATTAACTCCTTTGTATATTTAATTGTGGCCAGTGAAGATGTACATTGGCAATATATCGGTATTGGATTTCGAAAATCGACTAATTCTGGGTTTAGTTCCAGTCAAAACTTTATACTTCTTCCAATATGCCAACGGACTTTGAGCTCTTCTAAAAGATGCCACCGCAGTCTATACGCCGCTCAAATATACCCACCACGTGTTTTCTTCCTATTCTAGCTTGATCGTACTCTATCCATCACGAACTAGCCGGTGCGATTGCTCCTTTGTACTCAAGAGTATCAAAAATGTAAAGCAATCTGCCAAATTTGTCTTATTTGATGTCGTACTAACTTTGAGAAGTTCAAAAATCGGATCAAGGTGCCATCGACATGTTTATAGCAGTCACGGTACATCAGTACTTAGGCTTTGCCTTTGCGGCTGCTCAGCTGTAAAAAAAGGTATACAGTGGCAGTGCACTATTTGATGAAGGTTTTATACCTGCACTCTATCGATACGAAGGTATCTAAATCGTTTACTTCCAATAACCATGCTATTATATTACATTTATTATTCTTCTATTATTCAAAAGTAGCTACGTCTGCGACCCAATTTGCTTAATTAATATATCGGTATAGATAATTGGTAATAAATGTTGTTACTAATTACTGGCTTGTTAAATGTACCCCATAATTTTGTTTAATAAAGTATTATACAGAAATGATGCCTGCGAACCTTGAGGATAGTGAAATTTAGCTCGATAAAATCGGAAGGTACTTAATTCGATACGCCTTTCATTTTATGACTTAGAAGAGAATAAAAAAAATTTTAAAGGCACACCTTATTTAGGATGAAAGAGTATATATACTTTGTGTTTAGAACATGTGGTAGTGCTGGAATAACACCGGGTTCGCGACCAAGTACATCAGCGGGAGATGTGATGGCAGAAAAACATATAATTTCAACACAAGAAAATTAGACTGTTGTACCGAATAGTTTAAGGAACGTGTCATTCATGCAAATTTAATAATTGTACTTTTGATATAAAGGAAATGTAACTTTATTGTGTAATAGAATATTCTAAAATTAAATATCTACCTTTGCTTATGTGTTTATACAATATCCGGGAAAAAAGTACTCATTTTTTTCCCGGGGAAAAAGCTAATTTCATAAAAAGTGACATTTTGTTACCTATCAACAGAGATAAAATGTCAAAGTTCTTTCCCGTCACAGAAAATTTTTAAAACTGACAGTATTTTTAATACCTTCCCTAAATTAGGTATTTGTTGGAGTAACCCTAGCAACAACTTCAATAACTAGAATAATAGGACCTAGTACATAGGTATACTGAATGAGGATACGTATTATTTGTTGTTTAGTATGATCGTTTTATACAATTATCAAGAAAAATAGTGAAAATAAAGAGTACGTAGTGTCAAATTATTGGTAAGAAAATGGTATCTTAAAAAAAGCCGACGAGCCACCCTCTTTCTATTTGAAGAAATCAAGTAAACTAAAAAAATAGTGTTTGTAACTTTTAGAATATCTTTAAAGCGACTGTAAGGTCGTTCGCCTCAAAATCGCATTTTTCCCGTGTTACGCAATCAAAAATGAAGCGATTTACATATACCATGGCATTCTAGATCGAAAAATAAAAATTGAAATAAAAATGACTTTATTTTTTGTCAAATATTGACAAGTGAGGCGTCCCATTTAAAGATGTAAAGTTGGGGTCATTTCCGGTCAAACTGGGAGTACGTCAAAGCAGGTGAATGTGTAAGAAAATATAAATTCGTCTATAATGCGCAAGCCCCAAATTTCGTTTTTCCATCTTCAATGATAAAAAAGTTATAAGGGTCAGCCACATTGGAGAATCACCCGGCATAGACTATTGTAAAATATAAAGGGCATTCAATTTAAGACAGTGTATATATTTCCACGTAGATATTTATCACCCTGTAGAAAGCGGCATAGTTTGTAAGTAAGAAGCGTATAGTTGCCTACAATTTTTGTGACAAACTTTCTCAGATACCTTTCAAAACATGAAAGCTATCGACCGACTACAAAGTAAAAACTCTCAATGCACAATATTCACACCTATAGCTCTTTCTAAAATGACAAGAAGGAATTATTTTCATTCAAACCATCCTCGTTTCCCTCGTTACTGTATCCAATGGAAACAGCGACTATTCAGAAGTTTCTAAAACTCCACTGCAGCCGCTGTTCACTCCATCAGTCGATTCCAGTCAAGGTCCAGGCGACGGTGCTTCGAAAGCGCAGAACACGGCACAATACTGCCGGCTTACTTGAAACAGTTTCCTGAAATCCCAGGAGCTTATTGTGCGCTCTGCCGAATCAATTTAACTGAAAATATTGCGACCTTTAACATAGACCTACCACGATCTTACAAATCACACTCCAGGACCGAACGCCCGACTACTACAGACAATCGATGTCATTCCCATGTGCGTACTCAGTAATGTTTGTACAGGAGCAACAATTAAAAGACAACAACAAGCCAGAGGCATTTTAAGATGAGATACCTAGGCAACAATCAAACAGTAGTGACACATCCTTCACTATTATCTACAAGCCAGCACAATGGGAGTGGCTTTTATAGCTATAAAAGCGTGTTTTTCAGTTTTTCGGTTAGCTACCCAACTACGAAATATAAAATAGTTTTTAATTACAAAGAGATTATATTACAGTAGTAGATGGTCGAACAATCAATGATAATTAATGACCTCAAAATAAAATTATTATAAAATTTAAGTTATTAACAGAATAATTCAATTCAGAGTAAAGAGCATGGGGTGCCTGATATATTAAATGTTACAATCATTCTATAAGAGGAGACTTATAAAAATGTAGTAAAATGTACCTCACGCTTTTTACTCCATAATGAATTATTTTCTTAAAAAGTGAAATTTTATTATAATTTTATTTTCAGGTCATTAATTATGATTGAGTGTTCGACCATCTACTACTGTAATATAATAATATATAAACTCTTTTAATTAAGAATTAGTTCGGTTAGGTATAAAAGCGTGTTTTTTTTTTAGTTTTTTCTTAAGCTATTATTTATTTCTCATTTTTTAGTTCGATTTATCAATTAGCTATTTGTGGACATGTGGTATTGAAATGTCTTACGAATAATTTCGTAATCTAATCATTTCATTTAAAGCTTCACTGTTGCATGGGGTTTTTCCTGTTAACTTAGAGCAATCAAGTTCTTCAATCCGAATACCGTCTAAAGATATTACACGACTAAGTGCTACATAAGCTTGTCCAGTTAGCAAACAGTCGCGAAGCCAGAAAAATGACTGCATGATCAACTGTACAACCTTGCATCTTGTGGACGGTCGAAGCCCAACTCAGGAATGATGACAACATTCGCAATGAACAAGGTGAGAATGCACTACCTTGAAAAAGTATCTGTCTCCGTTGTGCTGTGCCGAGTGGCCAAACAAACAAAGAGTAAGTTCGAAACTGCACGCAGGCTCAGATCGCGCGCTAGCTCTATATCTCTTACTCCCTTGTAGAGGACCTCTAAAAGAATTTATCAATCCTGGCGGTCCTAATGAGGATAATGGCAAATTGTTATCAAATTATTGCATTGTCATCGGTCTTTGATACGTGTGCGAAGTTTCAAATTAATCAAACTTCTGGAAATAGGTGAAAATTATATATGTTCAAAGATTCCGTTCCATACATACATACAAAAAATTAAAAAAAGGTATAGGTACCACAATCTACCTCCTGTGAGGATTGAACTCACGGCCCCTAGCTTACAAGACCAGCGCTCTGCCACTGAGCTACAGAGGTTCGTAGTTTCACCATTCGTAAAGCGGCATATGAAATCCGTGGACTTATATTAACATCTGCTTTTCACAGAATTTTTCACTTATAAGAATAATGGAAAACTGTTATCAAATTATTGCATTGTCATCGGTCCTTGATACGTGTACGAAGTTTCAAGTTAATCAAACTTCTGAAAATTGGTGAAAATTATGCTCAAAGATTCCGTTGCAGATATATATATATATATATATATATATATATATATATATATATATATATATATATATATATATAGGTGGAAAATTAAAGCTTCCGCCTTTTGTTGGGTACTTCCGAATTTAATTTTTCACCTAACTGGTCTAGACGACAATCAAGTTATATATATATATATATATATATATATATATATATATATATATATATATACAGGCCAAGCCAATAAAAGCGTGTAAAAAAAACGTTGGAACCATGTTAGAAGCAGGTATCTAACGGCATATAACTCTGTAAATACGTGGTCTGTCGAAAATTTCTTTCCGTTTGTAAATTATAGCAAAACGTTTCTTTCATATCAGGTTCAAATTTTTTTAAATAATGTTCATAATTATTTATGACCTCTTGCCGTCGTGATGGCATTCGATATATTTAATTTTTATAAAACGCCTTATCTCTGGCTGCGAAAAATTGATTCAGCCCTTATTGTTACAAGAAGGTTGCAATGACAAAAATAGGTAATGACAGATGAAGCCAAACCTCAGGAGTATGAGAGGTGAGACAGACTTTCCCAGTCTAGCTCTGCGATTCTTTTACGTGTCTTCAAAGCAGTACGTGCTCTGGCATTACCATACAGTAGTACAGGTATACAGGGTGTACAGTTAGTAGTGGATCAACGGAAGTTAGGTGATAGAGGGCCTCAAAACATATCGAATCAACCCCTATATGTGTGGTCCAAAATTTTATAGGTCAGGAGATATTTGCAATTTTGTGAAATTTAGAAAAACGGGATAATGAACTTTCAAACGCAATTACAACTAAACCATTAGGATTAGGGCTGTGATTCTTTTTTTGAGATGAGCCAAATGGTTAGTTTTAGCAACGGTTATGTCACTTTTCAACAGAGCTAATTATAAATCAACGCAAAAAATCTTAAATTCATTTTTTTGTGAAAAATCTCTTCCATCCCTCAACTTTGGAGGGCGGTGAAAAAATTGAGATTGTATTTCATTATTCGTTTTATTATAAAAACTATTTCAATCCATGTAGAATAAACCCAGAGAATTTCAGCTTGCTATGAGTGCATCACCTTAAAAAATCTGTATGTTTGACGTAGGTGGGTACCTATCCATACATGTAAACAAGAAATTATATTTTACAAGCTACAGTCCAAACGACTTCATGGATTTTGACATATGAGGTACTGTTAGATTCTTCCTAGCAGTGCGAGTGAAATTGTGTATATTAACATTTTGTAAACTCAAATTGACGGATTTCTTACGCAAATAGCCAAATCAGCTTAATGAGCTTGGGCATTCAACTCGGCATTCCAGGTGCGGGAGCGTTCAATCTTTGGTCCGACCGAAATTACTAAGTCAGCCAATGGTCCAGCACGGAATTTGTATCTAACGATGGCATCTGAGTAGAATCATGTCATATTTTCCGTGAGATTATGCAAAAATGCATTACTGGATAGAGGAGGTGGACCACAACCGGCGGTATATCCCGACTACCGCTTTTCTACGCGTCCATAATGCGTATATGCGTATGTAAGATAAAATAGAAGCAGACGAGAGAGATCCGTCTATAAGCACCAGAGCCATTGCCCGGAGCAGAAACATATCCCATACTTCAGTGCACACAATACTACGCTCGGGGAATATCCATCCTTACCATGTACAAAAAGTACAAGAATTGCTTCCAAGCGACTATGCACAACGGGTTGAATTTGGAATAATATGTTGAGAAGGTGCGAAGAGGTTGAAACTTTTTTCGACAGCATCTTATGGACAGATGAATCCAACTTTAACCGAAATGGAATATTCAACATGCACAATTTCCATTCATAGAGCGTGGAATATCCTCACGCTATCCGCCGACACAGCTTTCAACGTCAGTTCGGCGTTAATTTATGGGCTGGAGTACTCAACAAAAAATTAAATGGACCATATGAATGAATAAATTGCCCGCCTGGTTGAATGGTCAGTCGTATCTCGCTTTTCTAAGAACTAGTTTGCATGAGCTGCTAGAGGTTTTCCCTCTGGACGTTCAAAGCCGCATCTATTTTCAATGCGATGATGCCCCATGCCACTTTGCACGGGATGTACGGCATTGGGTGTCAATGCATTCAGGCAACGAAGGTGGAGATGAGCTTGCGCGAAAGAGATTATCCCTTGATATTCAGTTTCAGATACTTGTGTTGATACTATCAAAAGGCACTACGAGGAACCAGGCCAAACATGGGCAAAATAACGGCAAAATATTAAAAGTAGGGATCATGCCTGAAAACCGCCACAGAACTGCTTTCAATAAGCAGAAACCAACTCCTAAAAATGACTCAACTGGTAAAACAAAATTCAGCGGCCTGTCAGCACACCTTCACAAAAATATGGATTAAGCCCTTACTGCAGGGAATATGGAAGAAAATGAGTGTCAGCCTGACATTTCCTCTGTGAACGCGATCATAAGGCACTTTAGGCAACCGCGATTAAAGCCAAGACAGCTTCATACAGTACTAGCATAAAACTGCACCAACTGGATAATGGTAAACTGCAATGACTGGGTAAAGGCTGTACCATTAACAGAAACTTTGGTCGAATCGATCCATCAGCAAAGAAGCCAGGAGATACAAAATTTGGAAAAAATTCTCAGAATAGAGCGATTGTAACTGAGAACCCTTTGGCCAACTACAACACCCCCCCGCCCCTCCATTCATACAGTCGTACGATGGAACTGCTAATTAAACCTGTCACATTTATGCTTGTCAGTCCAGCTTGATAAACCTCTGCATATCATCAGGCTTAGTTGTTTAAGATGACGAGTCCTGAATGTGCCACCAGTTTCTCGTTGCTCAAATGGAGCCCCTCCCGCAAGCTACGTCTCTGAACCCAGTTGGTCCCGGTCGCGGCTACAAGGTATTATATCGTCCGGGATAAATGGAAATGGGAGATTAAGTTATTTGTTGTTTGCATTACTGGTTTCCGAATGAAGTGAAATCACTTTTGGGTCCGCAGTATACCTACTCACGATCGGATCGACCTCAGATATTGGAATTATTCCAACAAGAGATTTGTTTTTAATGCGAGAGAGGGATCTGAAGAAGGATTTAGACTTTGGAACGAAGTAAGGAAGCACTTATTCTGGGTATCAGTTATAGTGTTGTACGTTATAATCTTTAGAAAGCTCAGCTTTGAAGACAAATCATTCAGAAATCTTCAGATTACAGAATTTCCCACATATCAATATTTTGTGACAATACAGTTGAATGAATATGTTTCTTCACACATTTTAGGCTAATCAATGATTAAATTAATTTTTTCTACGATCAAGCCATAAAGTTTACCTTATAAATAGGTTTTTAGTACAAGGGCTTCTTTATGAACTGAATCAGTAAGCAACTGCTAACTTCAACTATTGATTTTAATACCCAGTTGAACGCTTGTCCAAATTTTGATCTTAAACTATGCCTGATCTTAGATAAAATGTTTAAGGTAAGGAAAAGCTTTAGCTTTTATGGGATGCTCCGACAAATTAGTTCAAACTGTACTGGCCTAATCTGTCGTAGCCAATAAAAGCTGAAGCCTTTTCTCACCAACTGGTTATTGAGACTTATTTAACTGCAACTTGGAACCTATACCGTTGCGCTTAAAACTAAGTTTAAGAGCTCTCCCTCACCAAAACGCTCTGACGACGCCTATTGAAATATCGATTTTAGCGTCCATCGCCACTAGTTGCATTATCAGGAAGCTGCCATATATGTCAAGGAGGGATACTGGTGATATCGCTTTCGCATGCTGGTGTGAGAGGGCCCCAAGCTCAATATGACTACATACTAAATCTGTTACCTGTAAGACAACATATTAGGTGGTTCTTTGAATGTACGAACAGGCGTTACGTGTTCACTTATTTCTGAGGGTCTGTGCGCTATTCATAACTCTGAAAGTATCAGTCGTCTTGCAATGTAAGTTTAATGTGATGAGATGAAAAAACTTATGGGCTAAAAACGAAAATAGAAGATCATTCGAGCATTGCTTTTGAGATTTCCATTGTCAAGAAGCACTCAAAATTTCTCAAATAAATTGATTAAAGAAGGGAAGTACATGGTCAATCTACTTGACTGATTTCCTTTAAGTCGCGCAGAAATGTCTCTCTATGGTACTGGAAAAAATCTCTATGTGCAATTCCAATTACCCTAACTATTCCGCTAAAAACCGTTAACGACCAACGACAGACGGAAATCGTGTTAACCGGCAGTAATAATTAGTGTGGTGCCTAAAATATACCGACAGTAACGAAACCAGACAGAATGCGATGTATTCGGTAGCAGTGCAAAATCATCTAATAAATCTGATACAGCTGCATTGCCGTTTCTACTGCTGTCTTGTCTGTTTTAGGCCCCTCCGAATGGCACCAGAGCCCTTCGGTGACAGGGTTAATAATAGCGGTTTTAAAGCTGATGCTTCCTTATTGTCCCTCGAAAGGAGCGGGAATGATGTAAAACAGAATTTAATGGTGTTAGGATTTGGGTTCCTCAACATCTTGAATTATTTTGTAAATAGGTATACAGAGAATTGTCCGTGTATTCAATAAGGTTGCTGCGCCTAATGTACGGTATTACGACACTCAAGTGGTAGCTTAGAAAATAACGGTAGCACGCCAGTACCCGGCTGCATTACTGCTAGACCTACACAGACTTTGCGCTTATGTGGGATATGATGGGAAAAATAGCGGTCTCTTCACCTCATCCACTACAAAAGCACCTCTGTGGAACCAGCCGCACCTAGCTAGAGATGAAGATACCTCAAATGTAGCGA